TTCCTGAAGCTGCCTGGCGTGTTTAACATTCAGCCCTCTATCAGTCTGCAGAACCTATTGGCCATTAGTCTTACTAAGAGCAGGTTGTGTGGTATTCATGTGACTTAGGTATACAGGTATAGACATGACTTCTATGGTGCTTCAGAAAAAAGACCTATCATGCTTATACATCCAAAATGATGCAGTACCTATGGCTAGATTCCACCTTTGTAGGAAATAAGCACCAGAGGAATGTTAGTGTCTGCACATGAAAGATTCTGCAAACCAATTCACAGGACCAGACTGCTGGGATGATGTGGTTGTGTGGAACCGTGCGCAGTAGAGCAACTATATGACTGTATTGTGGTGACCACAAATATCTCTCAGTCTTGTCTACCATTCCACAATGAAGCTGCAGACATTAGTGGAGGTTACTACAGTACTAAGGTAAGGCACTTAGTCTTTGTGCATGACTGGCAGAGCTCTTGGGTCAACTACTTCCATGTCTCTTCTATGTTTCCACTTCAAATGCAGTATAGCATCTGAACCACAAGACACCTCTTGTGTAGACATAATCAAGCCTATGAGTTTGATCCTGAGTTGCATGCCTTCCAATACAGGCATCATTCCAGAATGTCTGACCTAGAAGGCTAATGTTTCAATGAATCAGCTAACAGACACTGACACAAGGTGAGTGATGAAGGCCGTAATCAACTTTTGATGTGAATGTCTGAGCTGATGGAAATATTCACTCAACTATCAAACTGTTGGATCAAGAATTTAATGTAGCACACAAATTAACTGCTTGAATGCTCCCATGTCAGAATAAGACAAGAATCAAGACATTATTTTTAAAAAGAAAATCAAATGCTAAGAGGTGTGGAAATGTATATGTTTTAAACTGTATGCAAGCTCCAAAAGTCAAAAGAAAGAAAAGAAACGGAAGTTAAGTTTTGACACACAGGCAGAACCAGTAGCACAAATGTATCAGTGGATGGGTAAAGAGAAGTGGTACTGAGGCAGACAACTGAGAAAGAAAATATGAGTATACAAAGATTTAATGACTGCAGCACAGACATTAGACATACGATAACTCTGAATATCTTCAGTGTACTTCTCTTGACATCTGATTGCAATGTAAGCCAACAACACAAAATCCAGAAATTGATCACTACTGAAAAAGATTTACCATGAACACTGTATTTCAGGAAGAGAAATCTGAGTTTGGAGCAGACCACACAATGCATACAAAGTGGTGTTATGAAAGCCAGTATGTTTTTTTTTAAACAAAAAGCAAAGCAGACCCACAAAGCTGTGATTCCAAGTAGAGCAGCAGTGCAATGGGATAGGATGCATAATCCTTTCCCCACCCACCATCTTCTCACTCAGACACATTCCCAAGCTTCTCATCCTCCTATACAGAATTTCAGAATATGAATGACCAAATGCTGAATGCTTGGTAGACATATTTGCCTGTAAGTTCTAGTTAGCCTCTTCAAGGGCTGGTGTCCAACTTTGCGATAGTTGTGGACTCAACAGTTGAGTGCTACTGCTTGCCTCTGTCATTTTAACTTCATGTTTAAAAGGAAGCTCATATGGTTTTGTTGTCTTGTGCAGCTTTTCTAAGCGCCATTTCATTATTTTCCTGAAGTGTTCCTCTTCCAGTTTTTGTTTTTCTTGAAGCTCTAGTTGAAGGAGTTTTTCTTCAAGCTTAAGCCTGATTTCTAATTCTTTCTCCCACTATTGTAGAGAGAGAAAAATAGACAAAAAGAAAAGAGGGACAGAGAAAGACAGCAAAGTTATTTTACTAGAGATCTTGGTATTTGTAAAATCATCTCAATTAAATTTAATGGCTCAACAAGAAATGCAAAAAATAAAACTGGGGATTGGTAGTGGGCATCAGCAGGATTACATGAAACTTTATTAGAACAAGTAAGCAAAGTACACCCTGCTGAGTATATGAATTCCCAAAGGTGCTGTTGGGAAGCCTGCAGGCTCTTGATAAGAAAGTTGGCTCATGACAAAGCACATCTCTAGGACACTGCAGAGTGAGCTGACAATGTGTGGTTCAAATGTCTGAGGAGCAGATATAAGAACCACACCTGGTTCTTACATGGTTTACAATTTCAAACATAATCTCATCTCTCTCTCTCTGTTTTTAGATACATGGAACCTGTGGAGTGAGCAACACTAGCTCCTGGACATCCAGCTAGCTGGGAGACTCAATTGACAAAGAAGAATTATCATGCTTCCCAAAGTGCCATGCTCTGTTATCTGAAAATAAAAGTGTCGAAAGACACAAGGTCAAAAGGCACACAGCTTGCATGCTATCAGCATCACAAAGGAAATACAACTCAGCCACCAGCTGCGGGCTGGCAAGCACCATATGCGTATAAATTGTAGGCAAGTTATATTAATTTCATGCACATTAAAAATATGTAAGTCATCTCCTGTTCGCCAGCTCATGATCCATTTGCAAAATGGCCTTCAGTGCTGAACCCTGTTCAATGTTTTACTATTTGCAAACCATGCTCACACTTTGCACATGTGTTCAGCAGAAGAGAACATGTGTATTTGTGTTAGTAGTGTAAAATAAAGTGCAACCTTTACAACACAGAACACAGGTGATGTGAGCAGTACAACTATTGCACAGGAAAGTCAAAAAGTGTCGAAGGCTGCAGTCAAGGAGAACTTCATATCTCTTGTTTCGAGCCTGTATGAGAACATCATTACCGTATTAATGGAGGCCCTGAAGGTACAGACTTATGTGAAAGAGCAGCAGCTCTGAGTAAAACTGCAATGGAGATGTGTTGTTTATTCGGGAAGAAGTGCAGCTTAAGCTTAAAGAGGAGAGAGGAGAAAGGGTTTGGAAATAATAGCCACATAAAAATAAGTGATATGGCTTTGAGTCACATGGGAAAGGATTTCAGATTCTGTGAAAACTGTGTTTGGGAGGTGACTGATTTTATGAGAGGCCTGCAATTACATTATGGGCTGGCTAATCTTAAATAATATAATGGCTTTCTTTTAACAAAGTATTATAAGCAAACTAGTAGCTTGTGGGCATTTCGCCCCATAGTTACCGTTATTATCAGTTGAGAGAACAGCCTTGAGTTATAAAATATATTTCAGTGCACTTAGTATTTTTGCTGCCTCCAGAGGCAGAAGTCAATGGTGAATTAACTCTAAAAGCTTGTTTAATGTATCAGAAGCAGTATATTCCCCTCCATCTATTCTCCAAACTGGCTTAATAGTAGCAGATACTTAAAATACTTGTTTGAGACAGAGAATGCTCTGAACAGTAATACAAAAAATGCCACAAATGAATCTCTAACCCCAAGTGTTTTTTAAACATCTCCAGGTTGTGTGTGACTGTTAACATTAATAAGAATGTTGATAGAAATTTCAAGTATTTATCTCCACCACAACTTTATGTGGTAGGTGAATGACTTGCCCAAAACAAACCAGTTGAGCTTCAGGCTGACTGAGGATTTGAACTGTTTTTTTTTAATCTTCCATAACAAATCTCTTTCCTCCATTGTAACATACTAGTCCCGGAAGATTAGTGTCAGAAAGAGGAACTGCTTAACATGCTATTTTGAAGGAACAACACTGACTTCCACTCCACTGCTTCTAGCATAGCCAGATTAAAATTTCAAAAGTAACAGATGAAGCAGAAGTATTCAATATTGTGAACCAGAGAGACTTGGGGTTGCGGGGACAGGAGACAACAGTACAGCCTTCAAAGCAGTGATTTTACACACACACCCAAAAGAAGGAGCACCAAAAAATACTAATTACTCCACATAGAAAAAAGAAACTGTCTTAAGGCTTGGGCTACACTGCAATAGCCAGAAACAACCTGAGACTGATCACTGTGTGGCATGCACCAGAAGCAGGAATTACAGATAGTGGGAAGAAAGACAAAGCAACAATGTCTGTGATCTGATCCACCTGCGCAAGAGTACTAGGTGGCAAATTCTGACATGGCCTGGGCCAGCAATGCCTTCTTGCAATGCTCCTCAGTGTAAAAAGCAGAAGCAGAAACCCAATCCATGCTACACTTAGCTCATTGAGGAGAAAGGTTCTAAGCAAAACCCTTTTCTTTGTGCTTATTGTTATTCAATGTACAGAGAGGATTTCTGTACCAAGAATTTCTTTCAGACTTTGTTTTTACTATTCTCATGCAGTTTGATAGGAAATAATGCCTTTGAAAAGCCATTCAAAGAAGAAAAAAAATTGGAGAAATTCTCATGGGCTGGGTTCAGGCTTGTTTGCCTTATTTAAGAGATGGCAAAGGTGTTGTTCATGACTCCATTGTCTTTTATTGTACAATCATCACTCTGGCAACCTGTTGTCTCCTCAGCTTCCAACTTTTCAGTTAAAGCCCAGGGGAAGAACACCATGAGATAATTCCTGTAGTATGACTTTTTCAGATATGAACAGCTTGGGAGGCTGCAGAGCAACAGAGAGAACTATAATAGCAATGAAACACACACACAGCACTCTCAGCTGCCTTGCCGTTCTTAGGTATGCTCAAAACCACCTCACAAATAAACTATAAAATATGCTGAAAATGAGGCAGAGGAAAGGAAACTTTCTTCACTAAAATTATTCAGAAATCTGGTATTTGTGTGTTTGGTGGCTCTGAAACAAAGGTTTGCAAGATTTCAAAATCCAATGAAATTGATTAGACCTTATTATAACATTTAATCAAAATGTGATGGCAAAATTTGAGTATTTTTGTTTGGTTACATGGATGAATATAGTTAATATAATTGTTCATATAACATTTTCTAAATTCTATTTGCAACTTACTTAGCATTTACCATCAAAGGTTGATTGTAAAATACCGACTGTTTTCAAATAATGGCAGTTCCATGTCAGCTGCCCAATACTATGAAAAACTGGATTTTTCTGCAGAATCTTTGGATGTCAAATTATGACTATATACTACCTGGAGAACATCCAACAAGCATCCAGAAAATGTTCACTGTTAAAATTTGCAGAGGACATTGTAATTTGCTTTGGGTTTAAATGAAATGTGCAGAAGCCTGCAATTCACAAATTGCTTAAAAGCATAATCTTGCACATGTTTAGACTAAAAAAAGACATACAACTCCTAGCAATCACCAGAATGCTGGAAGTTGTAGGACTTTCTTCTGTCTAAACATGCAGAGGATTTTGCTGCAACTGCTTGTGTGAAAATTACTACAAATGGCTTGAATGGGCCTGAGAGATGGTTTAAGAGCACACACAGCAAGTTATTTTAAGGATGGTATACTTGACAGGATGTTGCACCTGGAAGCAAATAATGTTACTGTATTGTGCTGATTATTTTTTATTAATGCAAAAAATGAAAAATCTACCAATGCATTATCAGTAAATGAATGTGCCATTTCATGTGGACTAGAATAGATTCATCAGCTCAATAAACTAAGTTTCTGCCTCAGCTTCAGAAATGGGAAGCCTCTTTTCTGTGCACATTCTGCATTTAGTTTGACCAGTAGACAGTCTCTAAGAAGACAAGCATGCATTCAGGGAGCAGCTTCAGACAGAGGAGCACTGCTGGTGAGGGAAGGGAATCGGAGGCAAGACCTGACTAGAAGCTGAAGGAACCTCAAGTGAGAAAGAGCACTAATCCTTGGTAGTGTAATTTCTTGTTTTAAGTTGCCTTGAAGAGTTTATACACAACCTTCTGCAGGACAGGTCAGTGAAACCTTGGGTGAATTGTGCTGACCTGTTCTGTTTTGGAAATGTGTATTTTGGTTTCTTTTCAGTTGCTTAAGGAAGGACTAGCTCTCCTTTGCACGAGTGGTGTGTCCTGCTGGTGAACAGGAAGCATTAGATACAGAGAAGACATCACTACCTTATATTCATATCAGGTCTTTCTCAGATGGAGTAATGCCTTGGATAAAGAACTACAGAACAATAATGACTTATTCCTCATAAGTCAGAAAGGTAATTAATGAACTGCTCAGATCTATTGTGAGTTTATACTATATAGCACTACATTTATGCAACTGCATTTACAAAAATGTTCTTTTTAATACCTACTCTTACCTGTGTCTCAACTATTCTTTTTAGCTCCATATCTGTGCGGGTAAAGTAATCTGGATAGGGATATTTTGGTACCCCAGCTCGCAAAAGTTCTTCCCTTTCGTAAATAAAAAAGAGAGAGATTATTTGAGTTTCATGCTGCAGCTGTGGAAAAGGGCCTTTCCTTCCTTAAACAAAAGTTCCCCAACATCTGGTTCAGTCCCCACATCTGGTTAGGTAAAGTTGCCCTTGCAGAGGAGGAAAAAATATTCAGTCTTCATTAGGTTTCCCTAGTAGTTTTTACTGGATATGTTCCATTTTTTAACAAGCAGGTTTAGTCTTTTATTCACATATTTGTTTTTGCACTTATTTATGGCTCTGTAATTACTCTGAATTCAGATTATAATTATAATCATAAAGATCATTAGATGTTACAGCTTTGTGACTAAAATACATCATATGTGCACTGTTGATGTACTTTGGAGGCTAACTGCTCCCCCCGCCCTAAACATGCTGAGCATGCTTGCAAAGAGTAAAAGAGAAAATATTTCAACAGTATCATTTAACATGAAAAAGTAAAGAGGTAAAAGTAATTGGCAAAAGTAACCAACATGAAGACCAACATCCTGCACATGTAAAGCAAGATTACAGAAAGTTGCAGATGCTGCCATATGGATCACCTGAGGTTCCAGAAAATTCCAGAAAGTGGGTGCCACAAGTGAGAAAGCCCTCCCTCTCATGTGTTCCCCACAACCAGACCTCAGATGGGAGCCATATGCACAATAAGACCACTCCTGGTGACCCCACTATACAGACAGAATCACACAGGCTTCAAAAGTATGCATTGCAACAGTCCTAAGGCTATTTGTCTGGTTTATACCCACATCCTGTGGGAAAAGCAGAACAGTTTGCTCATGCCTACTATAAAGAATTAGTCATAATATTGTAAACTTGAACTATCTGTTGAACTTTTGCCACTTTATTCCCCTCCACAAGGGTCCCATTAGTGGATTGGATCTAGGTATTACCACTGTACCCTAAATTCTGCTATGTGGGGTCATGGGACTGACTGGAACCATGCAAGGGGTGGTAGTGGAGGCTGCAGGGAGAAGTATCAAGTATCACTCCCTGATCCTTCTTCCCCTACTAGCATCTAGTAGCTAGAGAAGGGGCACCACTGGATCCAACTCATGAAACAAGCTGTTCCATTCATCAGCTATCGATCCGAACCCCTAATAAGAAGAGCCAGTGTGGCAAGGTGGTTAAGAGTGCTGGACCGGGATTCAGGAGATCCAGGTTCTAGTCCCCACTTGGGCATGAAGCTCACTGGGAGACTTGGACCAATCATTATCTCTCAGCCTAATGTACCTCACAGGGTTGTTGTGAGGATAAAAAGGAAAGGAGGAAGAGGACTGTGTAAGCCACTTTGGGTTCCTTGCAGAATAAATAGCAGGATAGGAATAAAATGCACTAATAAAGATTGCAGTGGTGAAATTGCTGTTGTTAGAGCTGCCTTCCAATTCTTTTAGAAAGCCATTCCAAAGGTTTTTTTCCCCTACTTACTTATTTTCTTCAATATTCAGATAAAACATCTGATGGAAAGATGAGCAGTTGCATGAAAATTCATCCTGCTACTGGGCTCTGTTCTCAATGCCTTTTGATCTTGCCATCTTGACCCTCTTTTTGACTATGTGGCTGGTTAAATGCCTTTCAGCCTCTTAGTTCGTGTCAACTCCCTCTAAATTTTGTGCCGTATCATTTCAACAAGAGAACTATCTGAATGGCTTAGTTTTTTCCTTGGCATTGATTTTGTAGCACCTGAAGTGCAATTGGTATCTTGCTAAGTGTACACACAAAATAGCTTTGCATTGATTTAAGAGGAGCCTGACAACCAAGGCCTGATCCAGCACATTGTGACCCACGAATGGAAAGAGAGGAGCACTACAGTATTTCCAATGCAGCAGAAAACAGATATCATTCCTCTATTGGAGGTTCCTTCATAAGGATGCAACTTGAAACAATAAATCTTCAAAGTTTTGCTGAAGATGCAATATAGAACCCCTCTATCAATAACCAACACAATAAATACAGCCCCATCTCCAGTATATCAAGCAAACATCTTGGAATCTGCATTGCCAGACAAATTACTGAGAGAAACAGGAAGACATGTTTTCCTCCTGCCTTCACCAAAATTCTTTGCAATGTAATGGTAGAAAGCAATGATGCTTCAACTTTCTGTGCCTTCCTGATGAAGACTTTTTGTTTCACAAAGGCTGGAAGGAGAAGGACAGTAGCTTACTTTCATCCCTCATTCTTCTATCCAGTGTATATACTTTTGTTTATAGAAAGGAAGAAGTTTATAGAAAGCAGAAAGCTGCTCTTCAAGATATATCAAATGAAGAACAGTTTCTCTCAGTGGAGAAAGAGCAAAAAAGTAGTATAAAAGCAAAGAAAATCCAGCCACCATCAAACACATAAACTTTTAAAATAGCATAATATATAAAATAAGAGCTACACTGACAATGTTCAGATCAGGTAGCATTGTACTGGGGCTAAACAGGGGCAGCTCTGTGTCACAGGGCTCTGTGTCTCAGCCTTCCACTATTCAAACATGGTGGTCTGTGGGCTGAACTGAGACGACCTCCCTTTTTCTTCATCTTGGTTACGCAGCAGGTCCCAGTGATCAACTTCAGCTTGTTATCCACCTCACTCCTTTCCTTGTGGTTCCACAAGCTTGGGCCCTCCTCAGCCTTGTCTTATTCAGCATTTGATTTCTTGTGTCATTTCTTCCTAATTCTTCCCAGTGGGCATTTAATTTCAGCCACAAGTTCTCTCACTTGGACTTGAGCCCAATCAGTCACTGCCCTCACACTCCTCCTCTGAGAATCCTATTCCCCAGTTCAAGTGCTTTCATGTTTTTTCCCACCTCCTCCTCTCTAATTTGCTCTTCCTCTTCCTTCCCCTCATCTCTCTTATAGCAGATGCCAGGTGGTGTTGCAGGTTAAACCGCTGAGCTGCTGAACTTGTTGATTGGAAAGCCAGTAGTTTGAATCTGTGCAGCAGGGTGATCTCCCATTGCCTGGTCCCAGCTCCTGCCTACCCAGCAGTTCGAAAGTGTGTAAAAGTGGATAACTGGACACCCACCTCAGTGGGGAGCTAGTGACCTGTGAGGAAGGGTGAGGACCAGCCCTGCGTTGGACCTGCAGTGTCAAACCTGCAGCAGCAGCAGCTGGGCACCTGCAGTGGAGAGAGACAGGAGGACACTGACACTCCCGCAGACCAACACTAACTGCTAGGTGTGCAAAGCTGGCTTGCCTCTTGTGGTGCACCATGGATAGTGCATGACTGAAGAGCTAGCAGTCTTAGGCAGCCAAACCACTTCATTAGCCCAGTAGACTTCCTGGCTAATTGTACCAATGCCATAAGAAAGAAATCTCTCATATTTTCTAGACTAGTACATCCCAACTCTCCCTAACAGCTTTCTTCCCATATGTGGCTCCACTTTCCCATCTGTTTTCAACCAACCACAGCTTTTCATCCTCTACTAAGTTCCTGATGTTCAAGAAGACTTATCTACCTACTGCCTTGGGTGCCCTGGCCTCGACCACTTCCGTGATTTGAGGACCAGGCTCCTGAACCTTTGACTTTTCTTCCTAGAGGTATGAAAATGTCCTGCTAAATGAACCACAGACTATTCGGCTATTCCCTCTTGCATTTCAATCTATAATGACCACAATGTATAAGCAAATCCCCCTGCTTGTTAACCTTATTGTTTGCAGCCAATGTAAGTTCCTTCCTTTTCCTCATTCCTCTTATTTATACAAGCTTTGAACTATTTTTGTCTAGGATTTGTTGTTTTTCCCTACCTCAATCTCTGTAATGATCTTAATTGCAAACTAACAATTGGTGTTTTATGCTTCTAGGTTTTCTTCTTATTTCTGGATTTAGATGCTTGATTGTTTCATCTTGGTTGTAAATTAATGCTTCCCTGAGTCTCTCTTGATTGCTTGTTGTAGCTAGATCCCACTGTATGGGAAAAAACGGTACCAGGAGATGTGCTGAATTGTAATTTTTTAATTTCAAGGAAGGACTTCATATTGACTTCCTGCTAGGTTGGTAATTGAAGTCATTTTATTTATGTTGGAAGTGTCAGATAATAACTCCTTCAGTCTGTGCTCCAGTGCTATGCACACACAGTATGAGGCTAATGTACATTAAACAATATGGGGGTGATGAGGCTTGACATCGCCTAATGTAAAGTGATGCATGCCTCAGTACTAATATTGAGATTTTCTTTTTAATTTGCAGTTTGCTTTAAATGGACAGGATCTGATAGCTGCAGAGCATGGCATTTTTGTCAATAAACCTTGTATAAAATGACACAATAAGTAATAAGCAACTAAAACACTGCCAACTTTTTCTGCAATTTCCTGCATGGGCTACTACTGGGAAATGTTATTTAGGTCACAGTACCTGGCATCAGTACAGTCATGTTTACCACAACCTTAATTGCAGGTTCAATTGTTCCCCTGCTGCACCTTAGCTATTATGGGATTCTGATTAGTCAAAGCCTTCCTTCCTATGGATGCAGACCGCTGAGGTTTCTGCCTGTTTGAATAAGAGTTGCTTTGCTGAACTGACAATGCAAGACATTTAAAAAATGGATATTGCCCTCTCACAGTCAAGCACTTGTCCTCCAATATTCTGTGGCACCCCTCCTCCCACCATAACACAGGGGACTTGATCATTTATTTCAGAACTCTATTCATTCCAGAATGGAGTTACATTTGTTATTTACAGACTATGGGGAAAAGTACAGTGATCTCAGTGGAAAGTATCAGAACATAAAACAGTTTTGCTTGTACTTACATTAGATCCCAATTCTGCCCATATTGAAAAATGGGCAGGGTTACATGGTTACATTCAAATAGCATCTATTATAAATTTTTTAACAGCCTAAACATTCTGACCTTCCTGCACTTTGGCTGAGGGAAACTTGTGTAACGTGGACATATGCGTAACTTTCTCAGTCTCTGTGGTATTTCTTTATGTCTGGTGCCACACAATTCCCTGTGAACAACCAGTACAATCTAGGAAGGGCTGCAAGGACAATTCAGA